AGCCTTGAAAACCCATCTATTCCATGTGGCCGGCCTGGCGTAGTTTTGATTGGGCTTTGCTAGGGGTTTTATATGGGGTATTTTAGAGCAGGCTTTTTATTCAATATTTATTGTGATTTTTATTATTGCCTGTTCACCGCCCTGAGTCCCGTAAGGGAGATAGGGCGGTATATAAATTTAAATAATAAATAAATAAATATATTATATTCTTTGCCCATGTTATCATTATTTCTTTTACTTGTTCTTCCTCCATCTTTAAGTTTAACAGAAATCTATAGTTTCTTAATCATTTTTCATCTGTTTTTAGCAGTTATCTGATCAAATTCTGTCTGTTCTTTATAAAATCCCATGTTTTAACATCTTTTTCATATCTCGTTTGAATTTGCAGATATGGCCACCATGCTAGATCAATACCTTGTTCTGTAAATCTTGTCTGTCTTTCAATTTTCCTTCATTGTCCAAAATATCTTTATAAGTCACAACTTTATCGTAGTCAATTAAATTTGGGTAAGCAAAAACTTCCATTGTTGAAAGCCATTCAGGTATCTTAATATACATTTTTTATTTTATTTTTTCCCATTCTGAAAGAAGTGCATTTTGAAGGTATCTATGTATTTTATTCTTCCCATACCACAAAAAGGCATGCCAACCAATTTGTAGGTCATGCCCCTCTAGGTACAATAGTCTTTTGTCTCTAAGCATTATCCATTCTTTAAGCCATGTTAAAATAGTTGCTTGGTAGTATAACCTCCAGTCCAGCGGTCCAAATCCTCCACTTTCTTTCGCTTCTTGTAGCTTTTTCATTCTAATTCTAGCTTTTTTTACTTGCCAGATAAATTTCAATATTATTGTATTCAGTTAATCAAAAAAGGCTTTTCCCAGCCTTACAGGAATCTTTTGAAATAAAAAGAGTATATTCATTTTCACTGTTGCTATTCTCCCCAACATCGACAGTCGGAAGTTTTTCCACTTTTCCAAATCCAATTTTATTTGTTTTAGCAGTCTTACATAGTTATCTTCTTTTATTGTTACACATCTTGCTGTTAGATAAATTCCCAAATATTTAACTCTTTTAACTATTTGAAGATTTGTTTTTTTGTTGATTTTTTTGTTTTTCTGTTAGATTCTTTGTTAGCACATTAGTCTTTTCTCTGTTTATTGTCAACCCTGCCACTTCTCAAATTTTTCTATTTTCTCCAGAGGTTTGGTGCTTGTTTCCAATGGATCTTCCAATATGAAAACCAAATCATCTGCAAATGCTTGTAGTTTATATTTTTCATCTTTTATCTCCAGTCCTTTAATTTCTATATCTTGTCTAATGTTTCTATTCAGTACTTTCAATGTTAGTATAAATAGTAATGGAGATAGTGGGCATCCCTGTCTGTGCCCTTTTTAATATTGAAGTTTTCTGTAAGATCTCCATTTACAATTATTTTGGCTGTTTGTTTACAGTAAATTGTTTTAATTACATTTATAAAGTTTTTTCCAAAGTCCATTTCTGCAAATTGCTGAAACATAAATTGCCAGTTTACATTGTCAAACGCTTTCTGTGCATCAAGGAATATTAAAGCCATCTGTTTCCCTGAATGAATTTCATAGTACTCTAACACATCAGGAATCATTTTTAAATTATTTTTTATCTGTCTTTTAGGTAGGAAACCATTTTGGTCTGTATGAATAAATTCGATCAAAAATTTCTTTAGTCTTTCTGCCATTATTGAGGCAAAGATTTTGTAATCTACATTTAATAGTGATATTGGTCTATAATTTTTTATTTGTATTAAATCAGAGTCTTCTTTTGGGTATTAAAGTAATGTTGGCTTCAGTCCATGTATTTGATATTTTAGCCTCCAGGAGAATTTCATTACAGTTCTTTCAGGATCGGACTTAATACATCTTGTAGTGATTTATAAAACTCTGCAGGTAATCCATATAGGCCAGGAGTCTTACCCTTTTTTTGCCTTTTTATAGCTTCTATAATCTCCATCATTGATATTTTTCCATTTAATATGTTTCAAATGTTCTCTGGAATTTTTGGTAAGTCTGCTTTTTTTAAGTACTGCTTTATTTTTTTCTTGTGGAATTTCCTCTCTCTTATAAAGTATCTCATAATAATCTTTAATAATTTTTTTAATTGTATCATTTTGAAACTGTAATTCACCTTTTGGATCTTGCAGCTTGTTTATCAATTTTTTCTCTTTTTCTTTTTTCAGTCTATATGCTAACCATCTCCCTGGCTTGTTGGCATTTTCAAAGAAATTCTGTTTTAGCCCTTTTAATCTGTTGAGCCATTATTTCCATCTCGGCTAAATTTAATTTATGTTTTATTATCTCCATTTGTTTCTTAAGTATTTTCTTTTGTGGATCTATTTGTAATTCTGATTCTAACTTTCTGAATTCTTCCTTCAACTTTAACTGTTGTTGTTTCTTTTCTTTATTCTTTTTAGTGATATAAGTTATAGCCAACCCTCTGAAATATGCTTTGGCCATATCCCACACATTTTGAAGTGATGTTTCTTCTTTCTTATTTATTTTGAAGAAAAAATCCATTTCCTTTGTCGCTAGTTGTAAAAATTATTTTTCTTTCAATATAGATTTATTCAAGGACCATCTTAATTTTTTCTTAGTTCCTCTCCAAGTCATCTTTATTGAGTTATGATCTGCCCAAACATTAGTTTCTATCTCAATTTCTTGTATCATCGTATTAAGTTCCAAAGATGTCCATATCATATCAATTCTAGACTATGATTTATGTTTATTTGAGTAAAATGTATATTGTAATTTCTTTGGATTTTTTTCTCTCCATATATCTTGGATACAGAGTTCTGTCATTTTTAAAAATGCTTTAGAGTTTCCGGTGATGTCCCTGCAAGATGGGCACTGGGGAATGAATCCCCCTTCCTCAAGCCTGATTTCTACCAGCTGGTGAGTCCAATAGGACCGAAAGTCACCCCGTAGAGGCGGCTGGCCAAAAGGTGAAAAATTGCAGATTGAAGGCCAGCGGTAGCTGGCCCGCTTGATCCAAAGGAGCCCTCGGGACTGGCAGGAAGAAAGGCTGACCACACCCATCAGTTTGCCAGACGCAGCTGATCGTCAGAGACAACGAAATTTAAAGCGGAAGGCAAAACAGCTGATTACTTTCCTTATCTCTCTACAAGTGGAAATACCGGTTCTGGGAAACAGTATTCAAAAGCAAGAAATCCCCAAGCTTTGGGGAAATTAAAACTGACTTATAACAATATTATGAAGAGGACTGAAGCATAAAAGAAGGATAACTTGGAAAACTTTTGGTTTTATAAATCTTTTTTTGTTTATTTCTTGTTTGGAAACCACTGGGTTTTTAAGTTCTTAAACTTTTTAAAAGTATGGTGGTAATGGAATCTAATGACATCTAGTGGCAAAACTGAGAACTACATGCAGCCTTGCTTTTCTTTTTGTCTTTATTTTCCTGAGTTGCTCTGATTGGAGTAAAACTTGGCTGTATGCCCAGACATAGCTTATAGTTTAAACATTTTGGTGTCCTTGGAATTTAAAGTCCTGAAGATTGTGGCTGGAAAAGAAAGACTCTTTTTGGATTGCCCTGTCTTACAGGATGGATTACAATTATAAATAAAAACTGTGTTTGAAGTCATCGGACTTCCCTGGATTACAAATACAGCTTGACCTGGAATCTTTACAAGCTGTTTTGAAAGAGTGAATAACAAGAAATCCCTCCAAACAGAATACTTTGGATTACAAATTTTGGTATTTTTTTCTTTTTTTCTATTTTTTCTTTTTTCCCTTTTGCTATTTTTTACCATTTACTATTTTTATTGTTTATCTCTCCTATTTGTTAGGCGCCTATTGGATTATAAATTTTGACTTACTTGGTGGATTACAACGTATGATTTAAAGATAAAGATGAGCGCTCCTAACTTATTTAAAGTTTTAAAAAAAGGATCTTCTGCTCCCTCTTCGGCTTCTGCAAGTCCAGTCTATCAGAGATCAATTGATACAATGCTTCAACAAGAAAAGGCTAATACCTTCCAAAAGGCCATTCAACCGATTCTACAAGCAATTCAAGAGGCAATCGCTACTCACATGGTGGTCACATTGAGAAACTATGAGGAGTTGAAAAGTGATTTTGATAAAATGAATAAAAAAATTAACAATATAGATTCTCAATTTGAAAATTTTAAACAGATGATCACAGATAATCAATAAAGTTCAAAAAATAGAAGATAAATCAACTGAGGTTGACCAGAAACTAGAAGTTTTAAAAGATGAAAATCAGAAGTTGATCCAAATAAATGAAGAACTAGAAGACTCGATAGCTGGGATGGAGATGGAAAGAGCCTCATACTTTTTAAGATTTCAAAATATAATGGAAGATAAAGAAAAGGATCTCCTAGGTTTGATAACTGAATTATTGGCAAACGCATTAGGAACTGGGAAACAGCAAATGGAAGGAGAGTTAGACCAGATCTATCGAGTGAACTCAAACTATGCTAGAAGAAATAAAGTCCCCAGAGAAGTACATGTTAGATTTCTTAAAAGATCTACAAGAGACGAGATTTTGAGAAGCGTACGAGACAAACCTTTGAAATACAAAGAAAAAGAAATTGTAGTCCTCAAACAAATTCCTAGGAGAATAAGAGAAGCCCAAAGAGAATACCAGTTTCTAACTAGGAAATTAATTGAAAAAGGAGTGAATTTCAGATGGCTGATTCCAGAAGAGATTTTAATATACTGGGATACGAAAAGATATAGACTGGATACGCCACTTAAAGCAATGGAATTCTTCGACAACCATAGAGCATTTTTGGAAAGAGGTGACCCTGAATCCAGTACAAAGAGAGAAACAAAAAAACACTAAAAAATGGCAGTAGAAGGAGCAGTCAAACCAAGAGAGGAGGAAGAAATTAAAAACACACATACAGAAGAAGGAGCAAGACCAAGAAATCAGAGACAGATAAAATCGACTAGAAGATTAAGACCTAGATATAATTGAAAGAGATGGAGGAGAGTGGGATTTTGTCAATAAATATAAATGGACTAAATTATCCTTTAAAAAGGAGAAAAATCTTTACACAATTACAAAAATTAAAAATGGATATAATTTGTCATCAACAAACACACATTAAGAGACAACATTATAAGTTGTTAGAACAAGCGAAAATTGGTAAACTTTACTTTGCATTAGCACTTCAAAAGAAAAGAGGAATAGCTTTATACATTAAAGAAACGTTGGACCCCAAACAAATCTACGCAGATGAAGAGGGGAGAATATTAATGGTGGAAATAATGATGGATCAAAAACAGATACTGATGTTAGCAATATATGCACCAACTGATAAACAAGAACAATTTCACCAAAAACAATATAAAAAATATTAGATTTAAACTATCAAAATCTTTGTATAATGGGAGACTTTAATGCAATAACAGATGGAACTTTGGACTACAAAAGCACCAAACAAGGGAAAAAAGGAGGAAATATATTTCCTTTCTTTTATGTGTGTTCAATATCTTTCACCCTTCATTTTATACAATCCAACAATATAAGTGTTAATATATTAAGTATGCACTTCTAAGTTTATAGAGTATGTGGGCATACCTGACTTTGCAGGACTGCGTTTTCTTTGTGGTGCAGCTGTTCAGCAGTATCCACTTCAAAATGATAGAGTCCCTTAGTTTTCTCAAATACTTTCTTATATTCATACTGAAAAAAGTAAATATATCTTTAAATTTCAAAGTATATTTTGAATTTAGAGCCAGTATATCTTTGGGTACATTAGGGTAGGGACTTTATACATATATATCTCACCAAGTTATGATGCCCTAGAAAGGAGAGAGATCTCTTTTTTGACAAAGGAGGAGTCTGCAACTGTCAGTTGTTTGTACAATGATTACTTAAATGCATATGAGAACTATAGGGGGAGGGATCTTTGAGGCAGTTCTGTGAGAATTGTGTCACTGAAAATTGGTGTTTCAATTACTCAATAACAGTATTCTGAATACTGATATTGAATACTGATATTGATACTGAATACACTGAACATCAGGTGTGATCCAGGGGTTTTGTAATAGAAATTATTGTAGTATTCTTTCCTATTTGAGACAACAGAGCTCCAAAATATCTTTTGACTATTGGGCAAGGTAGAAGCTTGAAAAGCTCCTGTCAATATGGAAGGTCACATGCAATCCTTCAAGACCCCACTCTATGTCAGTAGCAACTTCTATGTATTTAAATATTAGTGTTTTCTGAACTGTAGGAACCAATATCTGTCTTCAGTGACCTATTAGAATTTAACACCTTCATAATGGATATAACAAGTCTAGAAAAGCAAAGCAGATGTTGAGACTTGCTAAGCATTCTGAAGCCCATATCATTCAACAAAACAGAATCAAAATATTGCCCCAAATATCTCCATTGACAGATCTCTATTAAATTGAAGAATTACATTTTGCATGATACAAGATGCTAGTTTGGTCTAGCGATTAAGGCAACAGGCTAGAAAGCAGGAGAGTCCCACCTTAGCCATGAAAACCAGCTGGGTGATTTGGGTGAGTCACTCTCTCAGCCCAACCAAAGCTCACAAAGTTATTCTTGTGGAGAAAAAAAGGAGGGAATATGGATATGTTTGCCACATTGAGTTATTTGCAAAAGTAATAAAGGTGGGATATATGTATGTATGTATGTATGTATGTATGTATGTATGTATGCATGCATGCATGTATGTAAATAAATAAATAATAAAGAACTGTGTTTTAGGACAGGGCTTTTCAACCTTTTCACCGATTGTACCACTTTTAGAATATGGCAACATTCGAGTACCACCAGTCACCCAGCAAGGTGTCAAAAGCTTGATGACAAAAAAAAAAGGAAAAAAGTGATAAAGTACCTAGTCCTCAACTTACAACAGTTTGCTTGGTGACTGTTCAAAGTTACAATGGCACTGGAAAAAGTGACTTATGACCATTTTTCACACTTATGACCACTGCAGCATCCCCAGGGTCATGTGATTTACATTCGGATGCTTGGCAACCGATTCTTATTTATGATAGTCACATTGTTCCAGGGTCATGTGATCACCTTTTGCAACCATGTGACAAGCAAAGTTAGTGGGGAAACCAGATTCACTGAACAGCCATGTTACTAATTTAATCTCTCTCCTTTTTTCTTTCTCTCTCTCCCTCTCTTTCTTTCTCCCTCCCTCTCTCTTTCTCTCTCCCTTTCTCTCCCTGTCTCCCTTTCTTTTTCTCTCTCCCTGTCTCCCTTTCTCTCTCCCTCTTTCTCTCTCCCTCTCCCTCATTCTTTCTCTCTCTCTCTCCCTCTGTCTCCCTCTTTCTCTCTCCCTTTCTCCCTCTCCTCTTTCTCTCTCTCCCTCTCTCTTTCTCTCTCTCCCTCTCTCTCTTTCTCTTTCCCTCTTTCTCTCCCTCTCTCTATTTCTCTCTCCCTCTCAAAGATCCTTAAAATCCTTAAAGGTTATGCTTGGGCGGAAGACTTTTTCTTTTACAGATGGGGCGGGGGCCCCGACATTCGCGGGCAGGCAGGACCCTGCCCGCCGAGCCAACGCTTCCCCATCGCCCTCCATGCCAGCCGGCTCTGTTGCCAGACCTCCCAGCTGACAGGCGCAGGTCCGGGGGTCGCCATCTGAGGGTGCAGGAGTTTGGCACTGCGGCAGCCTCTCCTTCGCCCTCCGCACCGGCCAAAGCATTGCCTGATGTTCCAGCTGATGGGTGCAGGTCCAGGGCTTGCCAGCTGATGGGCGCAGGAGGTAGGTGCCGCAGTGGCCTCCCAGCTGCCTGCTTCTTCAGCTGGAGCAGTTGCCAGGGCTTGCATGGTACCGGCAGCGGGGAGCGTGTCAGCGGCCCTTGGGGACCATGCAAGCCCTTGCAACTGCTCCAGCCGAAGAAGCAGGCGGCTGGGATGCCGCCGCGGCGCCTACCTCCTGCGCCCATCAGTTGGCAACCCCCAGACCTGCGCACATCAGCTGGAACGTCAGGCAACGCTTTGGCCGGTGCGGAGGGCAAAAGGGAGGCTGCCGCAGCACCGAACTCCTGCGCCCGTCAGCTGGCGACCCCCGGACCTGCGTCTGTCAGCTGGGAGGTCTGGCGACGGAGCCGGCTGGCGTGGAGGGCGATGGGGAAGCGGCGGCTCAGCGGGCAGGGTCCTGCCTGCGCGCGAATGTCAGACCCACCCGCCCCATCTGTAAAAGAAAAAGTCTTCCACCCAAGCATAACGCCAGCAGTTCTGTGCCATGGAGGCTTGAGACAGGGAGGTGCGGGACGCAGAGCAGCGCAGTGCCATGGGAGGTGGCAGGACAGGGGGAGGGGTTACCTGCATCCTGCCAGCCGAACTCTGGAAGCCTGCCTGAATGAAGAATTTTAGGGGGTGTTGAAAGCGAGACAAACTTAGGGCTGTATTAAGACCACAGATGGCTGCGTAAGGAGAGTGGAAGGGAGGCGAATTCTGGGTGGAGCAGAAAACACGAGGGGAAGGCATTAGGAAATAAGCACCAAGGTACATGGTGCCTTGCAAGGGATTGCCGAGTGTTCCGCAATTGTTTTTCCTCTCTCTTCTGCGCAAGAAAAACTTTTGCAGCGTAAATCTGAAACCAGGTATTCCTGTGAGGTGGTGCAGGAGGTTCTTGGGAGAGGCGAGGACAAGCTTGGCGTTTCCTCTCTCCCAATCCCCTTCCTCTTCTTCACCCCCTTCCCCGGCCTGCCTGCGATCTGAGCTCGCAGCTCTGTGGCTTTTCTTTGCCTAGCCTAGCCAAGCTTTCTTCCGCCCGCCCCATTCCCAGGAGCGCTGAGGAGGTACGGCAGAAACACATGAATTGGGATTGTGGCGCCCTTGGGAAGCTGATCATGCTTTGAACCTTAGAGAGGAGGAGGAGTCCCTTCCTCCTTCCCTCCCTCTCTCCCTGTCAAGCCCCGGTGGGCTCGACATGAATGGGCTGGGGGAGGGGTCAAGGACGACGTGTGGGGTGGCAAAGGAGACTGGTAGCTGGCGCCAGCGCCCAGATCTCCCAGCTGACAAGCGCATGTTTGGGGGTTGCCAGCTGACGGGCGCAGGAGTTTGGCGCTGCGGCGGCCTCCCCTTCGCTGATCTAAGAGCACAAGAAGTCAAACCAGTTGCTGCACAATGAGTCCCTGTGGAGGGGGGGGGCCTTGCTCTGCGCCTGCGCTCTTCAAGCTCCTCCTGCAGGGCACATTCGGTAAAGTTTGTGCAGGCTGCTGCCAACCAGCATATTTTCCACAAACAAGTGAGGTGTGAAGGAGCGGAGCAGGGGGGAGGAAGGCGACGCCATGGGGGGAGGAAGGCAATGCTGCGTACCACCAGCCAGGTGGTCGCGTACCACAAGTGGTACACGTATCACCGGTTGACAAGCCCTGTTTTAGGACATTAAAAAGTAACTTTTGAGTGGCTGAGGGCTACACTAAGATTAGACAAGGATGTGATCACAGCATTAAAGGGGGCAAGATTGATATTTTTGTAGTTTTCCCCTCTCTTGGAGGTATAGATATAACTTACAACTTTTTAAATATTAAATCTATTTAGCTACCTTAACTTTCCCTATCACCCCTCCCAACTGAAAATTGGCAAGCAATTATAAATTTGGCAACTTATCACTGCTCTTACATAACACAACATTGGGGAGCTGTGGAACCAAGAAAAAAAATATTTCACAGACTGATCATAGGCTAAGACCGTGGTGGCGAACCTATGGCACGCGTGTCACAGGTGGCACGCAGAGCCCTCTCTGTGGGCACGCGCACTGTCGCCCCAGTCCTAGGCCTTCAGCTGGGTTTTAGAAAACCTTTTCGCTTTAGGCCTCCGCCACTGTGTGCAAAAAAAAAGGTTTAATCAATCAATCAATTTCAACTTCTCACGGGAAAAAAAAATCTCGCAAAGTTGGAATTAATTGATTGAACTTTTTAGTCCTGGCCAGTCTGCCATTACCACTGAAGCCATGCCCACCCAATTGGCCATGCCCACCCAAAGGGCCACACCCACCCAATGGGCCATGCCCATCCAGCACCCAACGATACATAAGTGGGTTTTGGGTTGCAGTTTGGGCACTCTGTCTCTAAAAGGTTTGCCATCACTGGCCTAAGATTTGCCCATTTCTGTTTTGCTAGATCTTCAAAATACTACAAACAATTCCAACAAATGACTCTGCTGCTGCAATTGTCCTCAACCAATAATTATGGACATTTAAAATGAGAAAGCCAGTCTTTTTGAAGTTTGTACAGTCCTAGCACATATAAATACACATATGAACACATCACTGATGATTTTTCAATTATTTAGACTAAAATCTTTACATTAATGGTAGCTTCTGTTTGATATCACGTAGCTGGTTATATTGGGGAACTGAGTGAGTTTATTACTAAATTTATGCTGGTTTATTTGAAATTGAATTATCAGAATTTGAATTACTATGGCAAAAAATTTGCATAGATTGTTTTCCTTCTTAGGGAAACTTTGTCGCAACCTCTTTGCTGGATTCAAAACAATAATTTAGTCTCCCCCTTCATTATAATATAAATTTCATTATCTTATTTCTAGCATTTGTATTCATTGTATGGAATGTAGCTCTGTCTCTTCCTCACTCCGGCCACCTCAGTTAATGCAATCACAGTTACAGCTACTGCAAAAGCACTTACAACATGCTTTGAAATGCAAAAGAAATGATGGCCTTGAGGCAAGGAAGCTTCTCCACTGGTGAGACCTGCATTTATTTATTACAGATCACCACACAAATGTATGCATTGTGTAGGGGGAAATTAGGCCTGGTAATTTATTTCTTTTGTCTTGATGGGATGTGGGAATCTATGTTGCTCTTGTTTTAATATTAGTTATATCTAAAGACAAGACATTGTTCAATTAGCAGGAACATTGATTGACTCATTACTGTATTCAATCAGCATTTCAAGACCAGCATCTCTGAAGTCAACTTCAACACCTCTGAAGAAAACAGACAAGTTTCTTTAAGCTGCTTTAGTTTCCTTTTAATTTGGAGAAATCAAGTAGAAATTGTAGTGGTGTGGAAATGCCACCAGATGTTCATTAGAGGTAGCTTCTCAACCAGTGCTTACAACAGCCTTCCCCAAACTGGTACTCCCTCAAAATGTGGATTTCAACTCCCAGAATTCTTATAAATGGCATGCTAACTGAATATTCTTACATCTAAGAATTTTCCCTTCTGGAAAATGTCTGCATTAAGAAGGCTAGTTTACAATATTCCAACACTGACAAAATGTTTGAAAGAACCATGTATTGCTCAGAGGTCACAAAAAAAGGTCTTCCAACAGCTGATTCTGGTTCAAGCTATAGAAATAAAAATCCAATGAGCAGAACAAATGTATTTCTTGAGAGGAAGAAGTAGCTTGAAATAATAACTTTCTTGGAAATTTAGCTATCCTGCCATTTACCAAAATAACTACAAAAAGTTCAGCTTACATTACTATGGATCTTGCTGGCATTCAATGCATGCTCTAATTGTAATAGGTTTGGAAATGCAGATGTTGGTTCATGAAGACTGTCCAGACTTTCTTTTTTGTATTTTACCTTTAAAAAGGAAACAAGTTTCTTTGGTGAAAGTACCAAAAGGCAGAACAGAAATAAGACATTTCCAATTTCCTTGCAAAAAAATCAGAATGTATTTCATATTTATAGTGGCCATAAGGTGGCACTCCTTTACTGTAGAGTGTCAAAATGTAATCAGAAAACATTCCATCTAGGAGCAAAATAAAACATTTAACATGGACTAGACGTTTCCAATTAAAATTTAAGGAAATTATTCTAGGGAATTTTAAATGCAAACCGAGGAACTCCCTACAGTATTCACTGCAAGAAATGTAGTGAAATGTTCCAAAAAAAAAAAAAATCCACTTACATCACTTGCCAATACAGAAGCCAGTTGAGCTTGCTTGAAAAAAGCACTTTCAAGAGGATTAAAGCAATTATTCTTCATTTCTTTAATATGCTGTTCTTTATATTTAACCTAAGAAATAAATATATCACTATAAATAATATATTTCTGAAGAATTCAGATATTTATTATTATTTTGTTTATATTACTTTAGCATACTGAAAGGAATAAAAGGGTATCAAAAGGAAAAATGAGTCGTGTTAAACTTTGATTACATAGAATAATATTGATCATTTTTTGTGTTATATCACTAAAAAGCTTGTTCTACTTACAAAGAAAGGGGACATGTATATCAGGGGTGACACTATAAAAGAATAATATTTTTAAAATGTCCCATTCATGATAAATATGTAGTTCTTCATATAATGATAAATTCCAAATTCCTAGTACAGAATTCAAATCACTTTCACATATTTAAGCCTAAAACAAACATATGTGGATTTTTAAATGTCGCCTCCATTATTTTTCACTTTCAGTATAATGACATTGACAATTTTATATGTTACCCAAGATGTCTATGAAAGAAACTGTTGTTGAATCAGAAACATACTTCAGTGCTGATAATAATTTGCAAGGTTCAGAAGCTGCTAAAGTGTCTGGTCTGAACTATGAAATCAAATTATGTTTTAATTGAATATATTGTTGCTGTTACAGTAATTCAGATTGTTTAAAAACTTGATTGGCAATAAGCATCTTAAATGTATTAATACCCCTATTATTGAATTCAAAACAAATAATTATCTGCAGTTTTCAAATTGGAACTATCTGTTTAATTTGTTTAATTGTCAATTTACAAGATGAGAACTGAGCTAACTTATTGCTAATTGTCCTAAGTATAATCTATCTACTACAGCATGGCTGTCAAATTCGATTGCATCACGTGATGTATCATGAAGCATCATTACGTTTTTTGCCTTTGCAAAGCCAGGTGGACGTGGCCTGCGCATAATGTACCTGGCCCATGGGCCGCCAGTTTGACACCCCTGTACTACAGGATATAATCAGTTTGTCATTTTACTAAATTTGGGCCAAGATTTCTGGCTGATCAAGATTCAGTAAAAAATAGTAACTGTGCATAACATTTAAGCAATCAAATATCTGTCCCATAGTCACCACTTTTAATTATATTTTTTTCAACCCCCCCCCTCCATCACACTGCTTTTTCTCTGAGAAAAAAAATCTAGAGATCTAGAGAATTATGTCAGCTACAAGCAACCTGATACCCCTGAGATGTTTTGACTTAATGAATTTAGTTTGCCTTTCCAGAAAACCGTCTTGAGTTTAATTATAAAATATTATTTTATGCCAATTTTCTGATTTGAAGAATCCTTCATATTGGATTAGTATTATTTGGTGTCATATATCATGATATAAAGTCAAGTCATTCTTTTTAGGTTAATGGACGTATTGAGCTTTCATCTCTACTGAAATTATTCCCTGTTTTCAATACAATTTTTTTAAAATATTTGCAATAACAAAATTCAGCACCATAAACACAACCCAGCATGCCACATACTATGTGGAGCACATAAAAATATTGTAATCAGATCACTTTCTGTAACAAAACTGAGATTTATTATCTGTTTGTGAGCTGCTGCTATTGTTTCTCAATAGTGTCAGTTAAATGCATTTTTTTCACAACAAAATTTTAAAAAGTTACTGAGGCCTTATTTTTCATGCATTTTTTTAAAATTACAACTTAAAACATTGATTTTATGGTTGGGAAAAATATATTTCTGCTGAACAAAAAATCCATCAAAACCTTACTTGACTTAACAACTTGGATACTTTCTGAGCATGGTTAAAGTCTGGTCTTCCAAGTACAGTTGGCTCTTTGCTCATTTCTTGTTTTCCTTTTGTATATTCAGCCTTCAAAACAAAATGTAGATATATTAATACTAGTCATCATTTAACTTGCTGGGGAAAAGACAAAACAGGATTGACATAGAATTATATATGGATAGTAAAAGATAGACAAGAAAAAACAAGATTTTTTATCTTGTTTAACCATAGCAACAAAATAAATCTCTCCTCAAATGTGGGCTGCTGACCACACATTTGTCACCTTCTATTTTTTACATATAATTTATATATTGGCAAAACTCTACTGCCTTGCTAAAAAAAATCTTTATGAACAATTTCTTATCAATTTCACTCAATCTGATAAAAATAAAAAATTGCTTTTGAAATTTCTTTCAGAATAAATGAAACAGTGCAATCCACATGCAGAATATCCCACATTCTTCTATTTTGTTATGAAAAGTTATGAAAAGAGCTAAGCGCTGGATGTGAATAATCTTTTAACTATATAATTCCCTCTCCACTAGACTATTCACTCTTTGGAGAAAGTAATATCAAAAACAAGCCAGCAGAAGGCAATGTAAAAGATGTTCTATGGAGCTTTTTCAGAATGAGAACAGCAGATAGTCAAAGAGACTCTATTATGAGGGAAAAATGTGTAACAGAAAATAGCAACCCCAGTGGCACCTTCAAGAATAAAGTAATACCACCAACTGAAATTAGAAAGCAATTCTCAAATTTAAGAGTAAAGTAAGACAAAAAGAAATATCTTTTATGGAAGAAAAACATTTCTAATAAATTGCATTACAAATTCTACTACAATATTAAAAACACAAACAAGATCTAGCAGAATTAATGACTGTTTAATGCTATGTTAATCAGTTGTATATTTATATACACATATATCTTTAAAACCTAAGATTAGGTGAGTCAATGAATGAAACTGTAAGAAAATTTAGGAAATTATTAACACATTTTTTTAAAAAGGGCCAATTAAACAAATGTATTAAAGGAAATTAGGATGCAATATTCAATGTTCTGTATTAATAAATGTTTTAATTCTCAAACATATAACTGTTCAAAAGATTATACAAATATTTTAAAAGTACTAGCAAGAAGGAAAGATATGTAGGAACAATACTTAGAGTGTTTAAAATTGAATACATTACTGATATTAGTCCACTTTCACATTATCATCATCAATCTGAAAGCAAGTCTAGAGTTTCAGTTACTAAGTTTAATTATCATTGTTAATCTGTACCAAAATGTAAATATGATAACTGTGTCTTTTCAAAAAAAATTGTAAGAAATGTCATACATTGCTTATTAGCTTTGTTAGCTTTGTTGCCATCATTATATCTGGTCTATTGGAAACTTCAGTATATTTGTGAATATCCTGGAGATCTTTTTTATATGACACCTGTAAAATAAAATATTATGAATGCCTTATGATAACCAGCTCTGTTAGAAACATAATAATATACTAACATAAAATGCTGTTTATTAACATTATTTTATTATGCACTGGTAGGACAAATAAATATTGATTTATATTATAAAATAATACATCTATGTTAAAAACAAGATCAAAATGCTGTATATTAAAAACATTAGAATGCATTGTTTGAGATGATAGCAATATCATTTGCTGATAATTCTGAAACAGCTAAATTGGCTTAGCTTCAGATTTCTAGGCATAGTTCAAGGTGAGAGTGCTATCTTAATACTGTTCGTATGTTGCATGTAAGAGTTTTAAAATATTTTGTTTAAAACCTCTTCATTCTGTAATAGCTTAGTAATTAAACAAGCCCTTAGTAAGAACAAGACTCTAGAATTATCTACCACTTCATTACCACTGCCATTTCAGCACTAGAACAAGATGGATACTTTTCTGTCAAGTGCAAATAACCAGGCTCATATGTCTGGAGTAGTGTGGAACTACTTTATTATGTTCCATCTATAATACAGGAATCTCCTCAGTCTGCCAGCTCTCCCTTGGCAACAATTAAATAAGGCTCCAATGAATTCAGGGAAAACCAGTTCTGGCCCTCTTACAGTTACACAGTAACTCTAGACTAACTCTGTGCTTCATCCTCCTTCTCTACTAGGCTGGGTGCTTCCCAACATTTTCAGGAAAAACAGATTCTCCCTCTTCTTGTTTAGTCTATATTTCTGTTAGTTTTATTTAATTAATTTGATAACCATGTTGAATGCATTTTCTATTTTTTCTGTTTTCTTTCATCTGCACTCAGACATAGAAACAACTCTTTTATTAGATGCAAAGGCAGCTGCTTCAACAAGGATATCATTTGTTTCTGAATTATATTAATTTGTATTAGAGCTGTGCATATTTCAATAAATGATTTTGAGGAAATTACTTAGATTTCATGAAACCACCAGGACAGAATTTTTTTACTATTCATGCACAAGTTCTGGAAAAAAATGTGACTGCTTTAATGAATTAACTCAGTGTAAAATTAAATATTAACAATAATGTATCATCTCTGTTAAGAAAATCTCATAAATAAAACTTTTTCCAAAGAAAAGTAGAGTATTACAGTGTCCAGTGTAGACTTTAATGGGGGAAGCAACTGCTATGTTCATAAAGTTCTAATATTTTTTTAAAAATTAAGATGAAATAAGATTAAAATGACACGTATTATGTATTAAATAGTGTCCCATTCACTACAGGGGTACAAACTACTGAAGTAATTTCCTAGAATGAATCCAAAAGTAGGTCTAAGGCCCTGGAAATTAATAATAGTGCATAAAATCTGATGAGATGAAATCAGTATTATAAGGGAAGCAAGAACAGAGTTCTTGAAGGGTACTCATCTTCCATATAAATTGTAAATTAAAACTTAATATCTGGACTTCAATTAAGACTGAAGTAATCAGGCGCAAACCCAGAGAAAAATGCCAATCTTATAGTGAAATCTACAGCAAATATTTATCTTATAGTACTCCCATGACAGATTACTATTTATCTGTAATGTAAATAAAATAAAATAGTAAGATTACTATTTATTTATTATAAATTACTATTAAGTAATTGAAATAAGGTAGTGTGGTTAATTTCATAGAGATGAGATGGTAAAAAAAATCATACAGTTGTTATTTCATCAGATTTAATGTACAGTTTATTTCAATATTTTCTATCTGTGAATTATTACTCTTCTGGCCCTTGGGTGAAGATATATTTATGTTGGAGAAAGACATGTATTTATTTAAATGTCTTTCATACATAGTTTGTACATTGCTATACCTCATTGAAAATAAGGAAAACATGGAACAAAATAAAGATTGACAAGAGTATGGATTTTCAGTCCTTCAGTAAATATCACAAGGTTCAGATCAGAACAACAACATGCTGTTATAAAATATTTTGGCCCACTGTGAAAAATGCCATCCTCTTGGTCACTTAAAATATGGTACAAAAATGTTTGCATATTGTATTTTCGGAAATGTTTTATTTTGCGTCCACCCACCCACTTCCTCCCACCATCTTCTTGCCCGTAGCCACAATGGTTTACAGGGCTTCCCAGGGCAGATGCACTTTTCGCCCAGATGGAGAAATGATGGAGAATGGAAGCCTCGTCTACTTGCAAAGGGGGCACTTTGAAACGGAGCAATTAGCTCCGTCTCAAAGAGCCTCATTTGCCAGCAGACAAAGCTTCCAGTCTCTTGTCATTTCTCCGTCTGCACAAAAACTGTTTGGGAGTCTATGGGGCACTTGGAAACGGAACAACTTGCTCCATTCCCAAGCGCCCCATAGGTGCCCAAACACTTTTTGCCCAGATGCAGACTGGAAGCTTCATCTACTTGCAAATGGGCTCTTTGAAACTAATTGCTCCATTTCCAAGCGCCCCATAGGTGCCCAGACAAATCACCCCATTTGCAAGCAGATGAAGTTTCCAGTCTCCCTCTGGGCGAAAAGTGTGTGGTGGAGCCAGAGGCACAGGGGGAAGCAAGAGATCTGGACATGCTGTGTGGCTGCCTGGCTCATGGGAGGCATGCATGGCAGCACCAGCAGCAGGCAAAAGCAGAGGCATGGGGGAGGCAGGCTATCCCAACACACCACCCATTCAGTCCCACTGCCTCTTGGCTTGCCTGCAGCTGCACCAAAATTGCCTGCCTCCTCCCCGTGCCTCTGCCTGCTGTCAGTGCCACCATGCAAGCCCCCCACAAGCCTCCCGTGAGCCAAACAGCCATGCAGCATGTCCAGATCGCCTGCCTCCCCCTGCCTCTGGACTCAGATTTACCTGCACTGTGCCAATGGGCTGGTGGGATGCAGCTGCTACTGGACACCATCAGCTTCTGCACACTCACCGCCTCTTGTGCTGGCCATGCCCAACTCCCCTGGGCTTATTTTTGGGGTAGGCCCACCCGACAAAATCACTCCACAAAATCAGGCTATTTTGGGGGTGGGTCTTATTTTCGGGGAAACATGATATAATTTAGGAGCCGTGGTGGCACAGTGGTCAGAATGCAGTATTGCAGGCTAATTCAGATCACTGCCAGGAGTTTATTCCTCACCAGCTCAAGGTTGACTCAGACTTCCATCCTTCTGAGATCGGTAAAATGAGGCCCATATTGTTGGAAACAATATGCTGATTCTGTAAACCGCTTAGAGAGGGCTGTAAAGCACTATGAAGCAGTATATAAGTCTAAGTGCTATTGCTATTGCTAATATAGATTTGAGAATGTTAATTTAATAGTGACAAATGGCTTTTCGGGTGAATATAGTATATTGACTAAAATAATCTATTCCTAGCAGTCAAAATTATATTTCACTAATTTGAGATCTCTGTTATAGTTCATCACTAAGTTATAACACTTAGACATTATACACTATTTATTTGTAACAAATTTTTATATCATGTGGTATTCCTCATAAATCTGACAATAAATCATGATGTACTTCAGAAATAAAAAGCAGGAATACAAAAATATTTTCATAAAATGACAGACATCCTTTTGGGGGGGAAAAGAATTTTTCAACTCCAAATATTTGATTATAAAATATAAGTCTTATTTTAATAATGAAGAAATAGTTCAATAATCTCATTTACATGTAGCTTCTGCAGTGACTTATGCTGAATTGATTTAGCAGGATATTAGATGATTCACATTATGTTATGATTCACATTATGTAGCCATCCTGTTCTACTGATGAATAAGACAAAAAAGTTATCCTATTTCCCCAACCCAATGCATTTTTACTAAATGTGTTAAATCCAATCTTCACAGAATAGGTCCACTGGAATCAATATGACTTAACTTCTTCGGTATTTAACTTGTCCTTTTGTTTTCAGTAGACTGATTCAATTCATTGTATTATATAGCATTGTATTTTAATTTTATTTTATCATTGTACAATATACATACAATTAAAATTGATATCTGAAAGTTTTTCTTTTTGTTTTGCCACCAATTATTTTTCATCTTGCGTACTATTTTTTAAATTGAGATTCTGGGGAATAAATGCTAATTTTTTATTAATGATTTGTAAACTACTCCAGGAGTCTTTCAGACTAAACATATTCAGTATAATTAACTACATTAATAAAAAAAGTCTCATGGAGTTCACTAGAACTTACTTACATTCCAATATACAATAGTTTTGAACTATTTCTGTGATACATGACAAAATGACTGATATCATGAAATTTCAAAAAAAAAAATTATGATGCAGGTTTAGATATGGCCATTTTAAAAAAATCAATAAAATTCCTATTTGTTAAATTTTACTTTCTTATATAACTCTGAATTTGGAATGTTGACTAGAATTGCAACATATCCAACAACACCATAATTTTGTCTTCTCATATTGGAAAGCCTTTTTTAAAAGGTCATCTTCAAAGTAGACTGAAGTATCAACTGGTATGCTATGGTATCTAGTCCTGCACCTGGATTATCAAAACATAGTTTCAGATTATCATAGAAAATATCGTATAATCTATATTTGCCATACTCAGCCTAAGTGTGATACGTCTAATCCTTGCTCGCATTAAAAAGAGATTCAGAGAAAGTTCAGAATAGATGCAAAGAAGGGCAATGAGAATGATCAAGGGACTGAAAATTTGAAGAGAAATTACAGAAACGAAATATGTTGAGGAAAGATGACTGAGAGAAAAATATGATAGCAATTTTCAAACCCCTGAACAGATATTGAACAGAAAGTCAAGACCTATCTGTTATGCCAGAGCATAAAATACGCTGCTCTTAAGTTACAGCAAAACAAATTGTGACACAATAGTAGGAAAACCATCCTAAGAGTAAAAAAGTTTGACAGAGAGGGATTTCTATAGCCAGTTCCAAATCTATGGCTAACTATGGCTAGTTAAAAAGAGGTGTCTTGCTGATCTTTCTTTCTTTCTTTCTTTCTTTCTTTCTTTCTTTCTTTCTTTCTTTCTTTCTTTCTTTCTTTCTTTCTTTCTTTCTTTCTTCCTTCCTTCCTTCCTTCCTTCCTTCCTTCCTTCCTTCCTTTCTCACATAACTTTGCAGATTATAAATCTGGTAACTTTACGATAGGTAAAGCTGGTTCAAGAACTCACACAAAATAAATGGTTGTAAACGTTTCAAATAGATAAAGTATACATTATCTTGAATGTATTTTATCATGTCTTCCACATCTATGTACAAGTTGTTAATTATTAGTGTTTAAGTCATCCACATGTTTTTCCAATGTAAAGACACTGTTAAATCACAATGTAAATAATCACACAAAAGACAATTATTTACTCACCAACCTGTCAAATACTAAAATATTTCATTTAAAATACACACAAGAAACTAATTATTTAAGCTGAGAAAATACTCACATTACTCTGGTGTTTATTAACTTCCATGGCATGCTTAACATCTGGAAGTTCCTTCATATGTGCATAATTCGATGTTCCTTTCTCAGCATCATATTTTTTCTTGTAAAGAACCTAAACATGATAAATATTATTAATATGCATGCAAAAATCAAGATAGATTACAGCCCAGGTTTTCTCTTTATTGCTGAGATAAGGGGGAAAACTTTCATACATTCATTTTATAAATCTCTAGGATTTTTCTTTCAAACCCAAGCTACTTTATAAATTTCATAAACTCAGAATACAAATTACTTTATACAAACTTATATAAATAATAGTTTTAAACTTTAATCCTGACAATCTATGATGATCAAAACTGAGAGGTCCATGTAACTGAGCTATGCATGCTTGTTAGAAACAAATCCTGCTGTAGCCTACACTGAAGTAAGCATGCTATGCTAGAAATTTAAAATGAGGGGAGAACACCTATTATACCTATTATTATATGGGATTCGCCACTATTATCTCATTTTGGTTTAAGCTATATACATTTATTAACACGGTTTTGGGGAAAGCAATGGAATGTAAAGATGTTATGTCAATGTGAATTTTAATGAACCATTTGGATGAAAGAAATCTCTGTTAAATCTAAAAATCCTTTCTATTGTTCGGTCCCTTTCCAGAGGCTAATTATAAGACAGCCCTATAACAGTTATCATAAGACTACTGAAGGATCTTTTTTTCAAACTGTTCTATCAATTGGGAAGCGCTGACTGAGGCAAGAATCTGCGTGGGAGAAGGTGTCACAATATATTCAACAAAGTGTTTACTCACCTAATCAATCTTTCCAGCATCATGAATTTTAGTAGGTATTCTATCATCGTATATCTCCCAGGAAGCTACCTTCCTACCCACTCAGGCTTCTGAAAACCTTCCCAGCCTACATCCTTCAACTCAGCTGACTTACCTACCAGCTGTTATCTTCAATATAATGGAAGAACTGAAAAATATTACTTGTATGGTAAATATTTAATACTTTATTTAAAGTGAGCCATTTTATAAGATAATATATCTGGGGGTTTTCCCTTTCCTTTTTCTCTTGTTTTGGATTTTTTATTTATAGTTTATTATTATTTTGTTTTTTATTAAAGAAAATTAATATTTAAGTACATAAAAAAGAATTATAACCTAAAACTTCAATACAATCAAATATGTGGGTGAATCTGCTCTGAACTCAATTGGTTAATTTAAATTTAATTGATTCTCAACTTGTTTATTCATTTATTGTTTAACTTGCACATATATATACAGAATCTATAGATATTAACTTTGGGTTTCTCCCTTCCTTCCCACCAATGGGGAAAAGTTCTCAACTGATTAGTTGAAGAGGGATTTAATCACTATTTGAAATGCACTCTTGGAGTATAATTTGCCCATCTCCAATCTATTTGGAGACATAACTGCAAATTGATGTGCAATAACTCAAGGTTATCCCAGCTTACTTTTAAATCCAGGGTAATTATATGCAACTTTCAAGGAACTTGTACAAGGTAATACAAATGTAAAATGCAAAAACAAAAGTATAAACTGTGTCTGAGAAAAGAAAATCTACTATAAAGATAAGTATCAGAGATGGGGTATCACTATTATCTTGGATACTGAGTTTGTAACTTAAGATTCATCAACTTCATAAACAAAAAAAATTGCTTCAAGCACATCTGCCAAGTGCCTAAAGATTTTTTTTTTTAAAGAACCCACTGAGCAGGCCACTGACATGTTCTCGTTTTCTATTTTTCTTGGGTCATTGTGTTTAGTAAGAAACAACCACTGGAATTTTCTGCCAAAATGATGTATAAGCTAAGTCTTTTACCACACTGTCCATTCATTTCTTCATTTTTTTTAAAAAAAAAGCTTCGCCTCGCCTATGATATTTTTAGAATGTTTTCAGGGAAGCAAGAAACTTGTTTATTTAGTTTTTAAAATAGCAGAAAAGTTCATCCTTAGGAAAGGAGGAGGAGGAGGAGGAGGAGGGAGGGAGGGAAGGGAGGGGGGAAAGCGAAGCAAAATGAAGCAAAGAGAAGGTGATTATTGTGGCAATGGTTTGCTGCTTCCTGCAGCCTGTTGTCTCCAATTGTACTGAGCCTACAGTACCCAAAATTCCCACAACCTGAGAGTGCTATAAGGATAAAAACTGTATCCTGGTGTTATTGCATAAAACCTTTAGGATTTTGCTACCAATCAGTAAGTCAGTTAAAGAAATATTGTTTTGTTTAACATCATAACAATCCTAAAACATAAGATTTTCTTGCAGCAGAACAGCGCAGCCAAGGACATGGCAGCCAGGCAGCAGGGACAAGATTCCGCCCTCATGCCCCGTCATGCGCAGTTGATGCTGCGGGGCATGGGTGGAGGGCATAGCCCCCATGGCACTGTGGGCCGCCTGGGCGATCTGGGATGGCCATGGAGGCGATAAGTGGCCCTGTGGGTGGGTGGGACGAGGGAGGGGCAGAGCGGGGTGGGACAGGCAGGGAGGGGCAGAGCAGGCAAGATGGGGCAGGGCTGGACTTTGGGCACTCAGTCTCTAAAAGGTTCGCCATCACTGCATTAGATCATTCCTCAGCATCAGAGTTGGCTGATATTACTTTTATTTTCTTAAGAGTAGCACAAAATGCTACTCTTGCAAAAGAAGTGCTCCTGTCTACAAATAGCATTTGGGTTGACAACTAAATGCTTCAGTGTTGCAAATATGATATTACCCTTATCTGTTCCTGAAGGCAGAACACAGACTAAGGAAGAGGGATGCAAGACAGCTGCTTAGTATATGAAGCACTGCCATTCATTATTTCATTAAAAAATTACTCTCACTATAAACAACCAAACCAATATGTCCACTATGGGATAGCAAGATATAAATCATAAACTCTTTAAGCATCTCAAACACAATCAGCAGAAAGTGTGGATTCTAATTCAATTGTTTTAGTAAAATACTTTTGACCAGCTTGTTTCTTATCCCAATAACAATATTATTTATACTATTATTATAATCAATTGGTCACAAATTACCTTCATTTTCAACAATTATTAAAGCAAATTAAGCGTTGAGAATTACAAGTTTATTTGCATTTTCCTTGGCTTTACCATAAATCAAAAACGGCATTAGAACCTCTATAAATACTGAAGAACAGGCCAAAAAAACAAGGGGGAGCAGAAAATAAATATTATCATTTTCCTCCCTCCAGCATATGTCAAAATCTGTCTGTACGTGAATGTTGTGCATTTGGAATATGAAAGTCTAGACAACAGTTTTTTGGGGGAAAGGGCAAGTCCCAGCTCTGTTGTAAAAGCCAACATCTCCTCTTTCATTTTCCTTACAGGCATAACGTTTGGAAAACTCAGTGAGTAGAAATTATTCCACTTTCCTACCATCTGAAACAGAACGCCATGACTTATGCTACAGATGGGAAATAAATGTGTCTGCACTTTTTACATTTTATGCTACATTTAGAATATATTGTGTATGTCCTCTTAAAGCAGATGTGTGTTCCAGAGTAAATCTTAAATAGTACAGTTTTGTATTAATATTTTTTTTAAGAGAGCAAAATATATATGAGATTAGAATGTCTGAAAACTAAATATCACAGCCAGCTCTGTCCTGTGCTACCATATCTGTGGTACCATAGATGGAGAGAGAAAAATATGGTTTAATAGCTGCAAAAAAACTGTATTCTATGAATATTCCAGGCAAGGTTTTAAATTCTCTCAAGGAATAGCTGATTGGTTATGGGAAAGGAAAGGCCAGTTTAGTTTCTACACCATACTAAAGCCGTGTCTCAAAATGTCCACACTGTCTCAGAAGAGAAAGTATACAAGATAAAATTTGTAACAGAATTCTTTTAAAATATTGTGTCATTTTCTCAATAAAGAGCTTAACTTAACTAAGCAATTTGCTTCCTAAGCTAATCATTTAAAGCAATCTGTCATAAACTGAACTTTTTTTGCAATGTTATTTATAAAATTCTTCATCCGTACCATAGTATACGACTGCCTACCAATCTAAATTTGTTTGTTTGTTCTTATATCCTACCTTTATTGTTTTTATAAATAAATAAAAGCAGTGAAGATATATAATATTCTTTCCTCCTATTTTGTCCAAATCTTTCAACTCTGGGCAAAATGCCCAAATAAAATCAGAGATACAGAGATTTTTTTTGACAATGCTAATTATTTATTTGACCTCTGAAAACAGGCGTAGGATAGAAATCTTTTATATTCCCTGCCTTAGACTTAATAAAATGTAACTTTCTTATTCTTCTCAGTGTTTTCAGCTTCAAAAACTTCAAGAGCTCCTGTTTGGGTTGGGATTTAGAAGAACAGTTTTTTAAACTGTTGTTCTAATGAAATTAAAATATTACAGAAAAGCATTCTGGAAATCATATGCTCTAGGACAGGAGGTAGGGAACCTTGCTCTTTTATGACTTGCGGACTTCAATACCCAAATTTCCTGAACTAGCCATGCTGACTCAGGAATTCTTAGAGTTGAACTCCACAAGTCATAAAAGAGCCAAGGTTCCCTATCCCTGCTCTAGGACAATTAAGTTATTAAGCATATTTGCCCTTCTTATTTATTCCAGGTATAGTGGTCAATATTCTAAAGCTTAGTGCCATAGCACATGACTTGTGTTTAAAAGCACTCAGATTCGGTCTCTTGTCAATATTCTCAGTTATCCAACAATTCCAAGTTATTATTTAGATTACCATGCTATATAGATGCTGAGATTTATGATGGAGTCAATCATGACTCAAGTTCAATCCAGAAACAAGATAAGTACTGGCGGTGGTGTTGGATCATTTTACTAATTATACTAATTATATGGGTTTACTAATATCTATGTTAAACTATTCAATTTCAGGGTTGTTCATAGACTTGCTTAATTGTTCCTTAGATGTCAGGGCATTGCTCAAATACGTCTCTCACTGAACTATAAGTAACATGTTTGCAAACTCTAAGTAGAATCCTGGTTAATTCTACCTAGTACTAATATTGCTGCAAACACAGAAACAAAAATCACTATACATTTATTTTTATTTTTAGGTCACGTTTATTTATTTTAGAGATATATTCTCCTTTTCCTCCAAGCATTCAAGATGGTATACATAGCACTTCTTAATTTCTCCAATTTTCTAATTTCTCCTTGTGGAAATCACCAAGACAGCTTCCATTATTAAAATGGATTTGGGGCTCATCAATTAATGCTGTGGTTAGTATTTTTTTAGAAAAAGATTAAAAAGGTAACATATCTCACCAAGAAATATATTATGGTGCATGTTTGTGAAATTACCTTGCTCTGAAGATTCATGATTTCTTTTGCAAACACACTATCAATTGTAGCAGGCATTTGCTGGTAGAATGAGTTAGAAAGTTCTTTCTTAGCCTTTGCTTTGTACTTTGCCTGGAGGGCAAGAGAAAAATAAAGTAACAATTATTTTTTATAGATTAAGATGATATTCATTAAGAAAGTTTCATATTAAATCATTCAAAAATTAGATATAGAATAGATGTTTACCTAGCTGGGACCTAGACTAAATGCAGATTTGATTCTGCAGTTTCCATTCCACTATTAAAGGAGTTATCTGTTTAGATGTATTTTTCAGTCTTGTTAAGATTCTGGATTTCAGTTACAAGAGTTGCCTAGCTAACCATGCCGACTGGGGAATTCTGGGAGTTGAGTTCAGACATCTTAAAGTTGCCAAGGCTAAAAAAACAATGGTTTAGAACATGAGTGTCAAACTCGCCACGTCACGTGACGTGTCGCGATGTAACGCAACTCTTTTTGCATTGCCGGCAATGGGGTGGGCCCAGTTTCAGTATGATGAAACCGGCCCTTGGGCCGGCAGTTTGACAGCCCTGGTTTAGAAAAATAGACCTTCCTAGATTTTGGGGCAGGCCAAATTGGGTCTGTTTCTGTTTTTAAAAGCTACCATTTTCATAATAATAATGAATAAAATGAAACTAATTTGTCTTCTAATTTCTAAAACTACCTTTGAGAACAATTTAATCATTTCAACCAGCCCTCACAACATGAGCTTTTCTTAAATCCAATTGCCTATCTAATCAATCAATACCATATATTAAAACCTCAGCTCTATAAGGTGCATCTAAGTTGTTTGAGTTTCAACTGAATGTACTATAATTGTGTTGCACAGCAGCTAATTTTTAGATTAGCAGATCTTTAAGCTTAACATTTTAATGCACTTAAAAACAAAATAATATTAATTACCTGCCCCATTTCTTTGAAAAGCTTTTTCAAAAAAAATTCAGAGTAAATGAATTACATTTTTATTCTTTTTATTCTTTAAATGTATTAAACAATGATGCAATCCAGCTAGGGAACTTTGGTTGTTAAACAGAAATGAAAATACTTTAAATTAAAAAAAACACTATGCCACAGTTAAATTAAATATAAGGGGGGGAGAATCACAGATGACTAAATATTCTAATACTGTCATTCTTTCAATCCTTATCAGGTCATGCCCTGAACACAATTTTTTAATTCCGCATTAACTTTGGTCTCAACGATGGCATCATGTCATAAAAGTAAATTGACTAAACAGTATCATAATGTAATTCCATGAACTGTGTGACCCCTGACAAGCTGGGACTTAATCAGGAGGAGGCATAATGAAAGAAATATGAGAAAAGAGAAAAAGGGACTGTGTTCTTGTGATAAGTGCTACTTTGTAAATCATAGAACCATCAATATAACAAACGAAGATTGCAAATGTTCTGCCTTACATCAGAAATAATAGCAGATATATTTTTCACATGTGTCAGCTGTGGAGTATCAGGCCCAAGTGTGCACCTGCCTTTTGATTTTTCATATTCTTCTTTATAATGGACCTAAAGAGGATAAAAAAAGTGGGTTAAAAGAGGGAATAGAGAATAAAAGGAATTTTATTATGACAGGACCAAAGAAGAAAAAAGGAATATAACCTTGATTAATAATTCCTTATTAAAATGAAAGAGACGAATGTTTAATATAATTTAATTTTAACATTTTTTTCCATAACTACAAGACCACCCAAGTTTAGGACAGCTAACAGATTTTAAATGACAGGAAAACTCATATAGATACAAGTCGTGAAGTATTCATAATTATGGCCATTTTATCTGTGTCACTGAAGCATTTTGCTGCAGTGGAATTGCTGTAAGGGGATTACCCTAATATTAAATCATGCATATAATTACTATAATGTGTCCCTTGAAAGAAGGAAACCTAACTTCATGGGATTCTCTTTCTTTGTTTACCATTCTATTAGCAAACTGAATGTCACAAATCTTGAATAAAAATATGATTTGTATCAAATACAGTGGTGCACTAACAGATGGAATAATTACTGAAGGAATTAATCTTCACCTGCAACTGACATGTCTTTAAAGCCATTAGATGCTTGCTACTGCAATGATAACTGGGTATAGACTGATGAGCATTTCTCTTTTTTCAATGTAAGAAATAAATCCTCACTCAAACTTTCTGTTTCCTCTGCAGCACTGCCTGCAGCAGATGACAGGAGGGTTCAAACTGGAAGACAATATTGCAACACCACAACTCAAGCCCCACCCTTTCAGTATATTCATTAGCATGTTGCTTATACATACAAAAGAGGCGAAGCTTGTGCTACCACACTGATTTCATCATTTTGACATAAGTAGCAAAATGCTGCAAATGTGACATTTGTCCTTGAGGTACAATGCATTAGTATTACTATTCAATGACAATATATTAATTGCAGTGCTCCCACAGTGGGGGGAAGAAAATCAAGGCATATTTTAAATTCACCTCTAGATTAGTGGCGAACTTTAAAGAAACATATTTTGCCCTGTAGCTAAAATCTACCCCCTTCAGAGAATAAGATGCAAAGCTTGAGTCAATGCTAGGAAAAGAGAGGGTAAGCAAGGACATATTAACATTTTTGTGATTGCCACCAAGATTGTGCTGGCTGAAATCCAACAGAGTTCCATTAAGCCAGAGCAAAGAGCTTTGGAAAAATCAATGGCCTATGGGCAGAAAGCTCTTCATGAAAGGTGATTATTTGTTTCATATTATTCATATTAGTCCTGACAAGCTTCCAATTCTTTATAAGCAATAAACACAAGAACAACAATCACTATCCTACCAGGCTCACTAAAGTACAGAATTGTGTGAAGCAATTGCCATTGAAATTAATGGAACATGAAAAAAGGGAAGGAAGAAAGTAAATGCTACTTTAAGTTGCTTATCAAGAAAAGTTAGCATTATTGTTCCTCTATAACTATTAGCAGCTCTACAATTCAGACTAAGGTCAAAGGTATGTCTTCCTATCCACAGTGATGCCACATTGATGTGTTACAATGTCACACTTGCAAGCTCTGTCTTTTCATAGTTGTGATACAACATTGTATGCATATTTTATCACTTGTCAATCTCACTCTCCTCTTGCATATACCTACAAGTAGTCTTCAATTTATGATCACAAATGGATTGGAATTTCTGCCATGTTGGTACAATCATAATGGACCAAACCCAATTTTATGACTACTTTTACCATGGTTGCTAAGTGAATCACCCTGGTTATTAAGTGAATCCAGTTTCCCCAATCGACTTTGCTTATTGGAAGCCAGCTAGGAAGGCCACAGATTCACATGACCACAAGAACGTTGTAAATGTGAGCCAACTGCTAAGCACTCAAATTGTAATCTCATAACCATAAGGATTGTGTAACAGTCATAATTTCAAATCAACATTAAACGAATGATCATAAATCAAGGATTACTTGTGAAACTCTGGCTACACAAAGCTGGAGTCGATACAAAACTATTCTCTTTCTTACAAAGATAAATTACAAACAACTCAAAATAGCAAAAAGCCAAAGCAACATTGCATAAACCAAACAATGATAATTGACAATCATATTTTCCATTTGCTAAAGCATTCCCAATTAATCAAGTAACAACCACCCAATAAAACATAATAAAATTAAATTTAAATTAAAAAGGTTAGACAAAAAAATGAGAGGAATGCATTAATCTCTTGATTCTGCAATATTCATTTGTGGAAAATTATGAAAGAATTTGAATTATTTTAAAATTAATCCAAATAGTTTACTAAAACTTTCAAAACTGACATGAACAACGGTTCTCTTAACTATGTCTAAATTAAGTATATCAATTTAAATCACAATTTAAAATTTTAGATTTTTTTAATGCTATAATCAGAATAAACAATTAAATTAGAAATACAACTGGCCAGAAGGAGATAATATTGCAAAGATCTGAAAGTCAGAATTCTTAAAACACCTAGGAGTATTTTAAATATCTTTCTCTTCAGTCAAAAGGATTCCAATATGCCAATATGTTCTGAATAATCCAGGATAGGATAGGATAGGATAGGATAGGATAGGATAGGATAGGATAGGATAAGCCCAATTCCAAAATATTAGGGGAAAATACAGATACTTTGAATAATACATTCAAAGTATACATATCTTACCCCATATTTAAGGGGTTCCTAAATAGACATTTGTAAGTATACTAACATGCCTATCATCCCTGTCACATTTTAATTTTTTTTTCATTTTGCTTGTCTGAATTTGTAATTTTCATTGACGAATAAATAAAATAAAATACAAAAAACATTTTTAGTATCAATTTTGTTCATTTCTTCTTAGAGCAACAAATATATCTGAAGCAATATTTACATATCTAAGAAAGGGAGAAGTGTTATCTAATGAATTAAACTAGCACTGAAAATCTTACTTACATTACTTATTATCTCTGTGCATTTTCTTGCAAGTTCCATGTTTTTATCCTCAATGACAGGTTTAAAGAATACCTAGGGGAAAGGTATTTGCAAAAGTAAGTACAAATCAGAAAATAAATCTTTTCACACTTTAAATAATAGATCACATCCACCTACTCTTACATCCTCCTCTTCTTCATCCTCCACCATTTCCTCATCTTCATTCTTTGAAGATTCCTGAAAAATCATTCTCATTTTTTGTTCTTTTAGAAAGATGGCAAGGTTCAGTAATGAAGCAGCTTATGCCCTGTACCCTTTGAATTCCTTGTGTCACTCTGGTCTCATGGCTAACTTCATCTCACTGAGGTTTCTTCCTTATTTAGGCAATACTTGAAAGTCTTATCTGAACAATGTAGCATGAAGTGAAAAGCATCAGATGTCCTTCGGGTAAACATTCTTGAAAAACAGCCTTCCCTAGCTTGATGCCCTTGAAATTTATTGACTCTTGAGCTTCCTATAATTCCAAATAAGTAGAGCCAAAGATCATGTTTGGCATGACATAGGAAGTGACCTCTTTAAAACAAAAAATATTGTTTTGCAATTAGTTTAAATGTCTGAAGATCTGTTTAATGAGGATATGAGTTACATAAATTATCAAACTTGAATAAAAATGAATTATTAAAATAAGATGGTTCACAAATCATTGGCAATTTGCTAAAGTTGGGACAGATGGTCCTTAAGTTACGACCATAATTTAGCCCAAAATGTCTGTTGTAAGCAAAACAAGTGAATTTTGCCCCATTTTATAACTTTTCTTGCCACACTTGTTAAGCAGTTGCTATGTTTGTAATACAGTTGTTAAGTGAATCTGAGTTCCCCATTGACTTTGTCAGAAGGTCATAAAAGGTGATAACCCTGGGACACTGCAACCATCATAAATATGAATCAGTTGCCAAACATCTGAATTTTGATCACATGACCATGGGGATACTACAATGGTTGTAAATGTGAAAAAAGTTCATAAGTTACTTTTTTCAGTGATGTTGTAACTTCAAATTGTCACTAAATGAACTACTGTAAGTCAAGGACTAGCTGTAATCAGAGCTAAATCGTTAGATAAGTTTATTAATGATCTGCAAACTTTTTCTCCATTACAGAGAAGAGTTGCAAACATATAAACAAGCATTACTTTACAAATATTTCTATAAGTGTACTTGAATTGTTCAGTATCAAAGATTATTGTAACAAAAGCTTATTTACATAAGCAATTCATAGAATGCAAGTTTTTCAGAATAACTTTGGTTCTGCAACTGGGACACCTGTTAAAAATGCTAGAGTATCCTGCATTGTTATCATAATTAAAATATCAGCTCCATTGCTCTCTTTCATTCAGATAAAACTGCTTAAGTCTGCTTATATTTATTTTTCTTTGAGACTGGCCTTCAGAATGAAAACATTATTCTAGAAAAGATTCAGTATATGTTAATGTTAACAGTGCAGTAACTTTTTTCTATCCATCTTATATATTCTTCATCTCGCCTCATGATAAATTCAGCACAGTTTGCATGTTCATAAGATAGTTGTTTCGTTAATTCATGGAAGCATTGGATCTTGTTGAAGTAATGTGATATACAATGAACTGAAAAATGTAATAACTAGCAATAATTAGGAAAAAATTTAGGCTCCTTACTAAGAATAATTTTCAATAAGGAAACATGGTTACCTTGACAACCGGGAGAAGATGATAAATATGGCTCTTTTCTTCAGTCTCCTGAAAAACATAACCCTATCTAGGCCTTGTCAAATATCTATTTTATAATGTCCACATGACATTCCAAAAGACAACACTGCTGCAACTCTACCATACAGTTAAGATATTAAATGGTTTAAACTGTTATTAGATGTTGGCAAAAAATGTACAGCCTAAAAACTATTTGTGTAACTTTTGTTTTTCATCTCCCACTTAGCATGTTTTGTTTTGAAAGTCCTTAATAAAAGTGCATGAAACATTAGATTTCACAGCTGACAAACATCTGTTCAGGAATATATTTGGCGTTAGCTTACGATATTATAAACACCAAAAGTATTCTAACTGAGCAGATTTTTTTTCTCAAAATGGTGCTCCAAAATTCCTAAAAAGATTAAAGCTGAAGGGAATTTAACCCCCCCTTTTTTAATGAACCATTTTCCTTTCAGACTTCTATTCCAACGTCTCATGAAATTTTATAGCAGGGATGTGTAGAAGAGGCATTTTCAATGAGGGGGCAAGGGGTTCAAAATGGTGGGCACCCAGCCTGAAATCCAAAGAAGAGTTAAAATCATAAGAGTATGTCTGTCACTGGTTTACATAATTAAAACTGAAAGAAAGGTTTAAATTAGATTTAAAAATGTATGGGTTTACTTTGACTCTTGAAATTATACTGTGTGGTAACGATGAACTTGTGGACAAAAGGTTTAAAATTTACATTAAATTGTAACTGAAAATCATGTACTGCTGGATTTAACATCTGATAAATTATCAAAGATACATAAATTTCAAATGTATATTGGAAATGTAAATGTAAAGAAAGAACTTTTTACCATCTTTGGTGGAGTTGTAATAAAGCAATATTGGGGTAGGATTCATATTTTTATACAGAAGATTCTTAAAGTGAATATAAAAATCAAACCAGAGACTTTCATTTCAGTGTTAATGGACAAAGAATTTGAAAAAAATCTGGAACGTTGCTGTTATATATGCTGATTGAAGCAAGAATGGTTTCTGCACAAAGATGGAAAGATACTTTAATACCCATAATGAATGGCTGGAAAAACTGATGGAACTAGCACAGAGGGCTAAATTAACTGCTTTAATCAGAGAAAAGAGCTTTTGAACTTTGTTACTATTTGGAAACCATTGCTGATTTTTGTGCTTCAGTTGAAAAAAAAAGAAATTTTGACTTTGGATTTTGCTGATTAGATAGTTTGTTTTTTATAGAAATAGCTAGTACATATTAAGTATGTAAAAGTAAAAAGTTGAGACTGTAATATTACAATTTTACTCTATTTTGCTAAAAAGAGTTGGAAACCAATGGTTTTCTTTCTTTTGCCCCCTTTACACTACACTCCTTTGTGCTGAAATTGTGCTTGATATTTTGGTCCAGCCAACAAAACAAGATAGAATAAAAAACATAAATAGAATTTGGACTGTCATAGTGTTTTTAATGCTTTTAAATTTAACAACAAAATCTGAAATTAAAGATTATAAAAGATTTCACAGCTGTATCCAGTTGACTATCTTTAGGCTGAAGGTAAAAATTAGGGAATTTTCTAGTACTATAATATCAAAAAGAAAAGGGAATTGGCATAATTGTTTATGCCATGGACACAAGGTATAATGAATCATGTTTGGGCTACAGAATACAATGCTAAAAGCAAAAGAAAAACATTTTTAAAAAGCAATTACTTAGAAGGCAGCATTGTTTTTAAAGTATAGCATTGTAATTATTTCAATTCTTAAAGAACTATAATTGTAGTGCTAGAAATGCATTATTTAATATCAACATGTATAAAACACTCTAAGCTAGAAAAGCAAAAGCAAAAATATTCCCAAAAATCTGTCAAAAAAGGTAAATATTACATTTACATTTCAAAATATGAAAAACAAAATAGGTTTAATCATAGTAGACTGGGAGAAGCTTTCATGAGGTAGATGAGAAGTTCAGAAGAGAAAAAAAAACTAACTAACCTAAGTAGCAGGCTTTTCTGATTACTAAAAATTGTATGAATAGGAGAACAAAAGCCTAGCATGAATATAAAGTTATTATGGTAAAATTAAAAATAAGGGGGAAAAGATAAAAAGATATAAAATGCAATCCAAAATAAGCTGCAAACTAAAAAGATAAATAGTATAGATTTTTTTTCAAACCAGAAGTTTATTTATTAATGTTAACATATTCGGACTGTCACCAGAAAGTTAATTTCCAGGAAGGCTAAGGGCATAACCGGGATGAGCTTTTAGGCTTTTATCACTATGATCTCATAGCTTGCCTTTCAGATTTTTTTTTTTAAAAAAAAAAACCTAATGCAATGGCTGCTTGAATCTGTAACAGCAAGCTTTGTGTATTTTTCTAAAGCAAAAAGAGAGTTTTAAATCTCAGCACAAGCCTGAAGATAATAATCTGTAAATCAAAATGGCATGGGCTTTGCCAGCAGAGACGGGAACTAGGGAATCAGCCATATTGGACTTAATTTTCACTAAAAGAGATGAAATGATAGAAGGTGTTGAAGCCACAGGAATCTTGGGGGGGGAGTGATCGTGCAATATTGGAATTCAACATTATGCAAGCACAAGCAATAGAACATAGTCAAACTAGTCTTTAAGAGAGCTAATTTCAATAAACTTCGAGAGAGCTTGGGAAGGATTCCAGCCTAGCATAATACCAACGAAGAAGGAAAATAACAGCTCTCAAAAGAAACTAGCATTGCTGCATAAAGAACTCTCTAATAAATTGAAAGACAAGCATAAAAAGTGGAAAGAGGGGCACATAACTAAAGCAGAATATCAGCAAATAGCCTGAGCCTACAAAGATGGAGGAAAGCTAAGGGTCAAAACTAAGGCTTGAGACAAAAGTCAAAAATAACAAAAAAAAAGCTTCTTTCAACATGTAAAAAACAAAAAAAAAGTTAAGGAAATGATTGGTCCATTAGTGAGAGAAAGTGGCAAGAAGATGACAAGCAAGAGGGAGAAAGCAGAACTACTTAACTTGTTTTTTGCATCCGTCTTTACACAAAGGAAAAAAACAGTCCAATCTATGAAAAACAGTACTGTAAAAAAATCCGTCTTTACACAAAGGGTAAAAACAGTCCAATCTATCAAAAACAGTATTGTAAAAAACAGATTAGAAACACAAGATAGGCAAGAAAATGGTAAGTGAGCATCTATCCACCTTAGATGAGTTCAAATCACCAGGACCAGATGGATTACACCCCAAGGTTCTGAAGGAACTGGCAAATGTAATCTCAGAACCACTGAACTATATTTTTCAAAGATCCCGGAGCACTGGGGAACTACCAGAGGACTGGAATAGAGCTGAGCTAGTTCCCATCTTCAAAAATGGGAAAAAATGTAACTACAGATGTATCAGCCTGACCTCAATGCCTGGGAAGATTCTAGAAAAGATAATCAAGCAACGAATCAGCGAACACTTAGAGGTAAACAAAGACAAACCCAACATGAGTTTGTCAAAATCATGCCAGACAAATCATATTGCATTCTTTGACCAGG